TACTCGAGGCACAGTCCCCGACTGCAAGTCACTGGCATTAACGAGCAGCTGCTTGCCATTAACAAGGCGTTCGCTTGGTTCTGTGTTTAGGATTCAGGGGCTGAGGATTCATTACCGGTTTGGGGTTGAAGGGTTTGGTTTAGTGCTGACCCTAAACCCTAAACCCTAAACAGTATAGGCCTTCGGGAATAGGGGACCACCTCCGATCCTACTGTCATGCCTCCTCTTGCCAACATCTGCGCCCTTGCCCCTGGCGGTCCAAGTACCGAATAGCCATTTTCCTCGCAAATCTGTACTACAACCATTGTTACCCAACACCCCACTCTCAGTTATCGGTTACTTGGACCCTCTTGAAGCCCAAAGCCCTAAATACAACAGTAGCTTGCATTATCCTCTCCATTGCCCTGTGAATAAGTTTGTTGGATACTTGGACCCTCAGACTTGCATAGGCTTGACGCGCTATGAGTTCTTGTAAAATTCTAGTATACAACCATCAGCACAATGCATTCTATCATCCTCATGAAGCCCCTATATAATCCCGCCCAAATAAGAGCCCTCCAATAATGAATCTTGCAGCAGTATATAGTTGTACTGGATTTGGGATTTTCTTCGTCCATATTTTGCGTGGTGGCCCGAAACCCCAAAATCCTAAACCCAAAACCCTAGACCCTTAATCGCCCCTGCCGCAGGTGCTGCACAGCGAGCTACTTCGGCATCGGCTGCGAGCAGACTCATTCGAGATGCTTGGTGGTCGTTTAAGGGAGTATACTACTGTTGATATCAAAAATATCTAAATGACCTGCATGACCTTTATATACCATAGTCCCATTATTCTCAAGATATAAAGTACTTAGGGTCATGCAGAATTTCTAGTATCCGCCGTAGCACCCCAACCCTAAACCTTAAGACCTTAAGCAGGCCATAAGTAGTATATAGGGCTCAAGAAGGCTTAAATCTGGAGGGTACTTTGGGGGGGGCTAGTATTGCAACCCCTAGTTGCAAGCAGGGAATGAAGGATTGCAAAAGGAAACGGGAACTTCGGTTTTGGGGCTAAGGGTTTAGGTGCTGGGAAAAAGCTGGAAAACACCACTCAGAGTTTGGGATTCGGGATGAGGGAATACAATAGGAATTGCTACATTCTTGGGGATCATTCCCTGCCAACAGCCAGTAAGGAAGTGCAACCGATGGCGGCTATCGTTGACCTGCGAGAAGGCCAGCGTAATCATTGCCACTCCTCATTCTTGCTACAATCGCTGAAACTGAAATGCTATTGTCCTCCCTGTCGTGAAGCCTACATCTGCTAGTTAGCTTTGCTTACTACTATTGAGGCGGAATCGTTATGCGTCTTGTTTTGATGATTGTTTTAATTCTGTTTTCTGTAAGGACTGCTGCCGCCTTGTTCTTTTTTTCTCTTCTTGCATGTTGCCGTTGTGTTGTGCCAGGGCGAGGCTTAAGACTGAGTATAACAAGCGTGGCGCCACCCATGCGACAATTCCCCGCCAAGTCCGTTAAGCCCAATGACGCTTTCCGAATCTTTGCCTTGGATTGGCAACTCGCTGCAGCAAACCTGGAAGATTGACCTGGAAGCCTAGATGCTCCAGGTGACGAATGGAGGTAAAGGTGTAGCAAATCCAAGCATCCCTGCAGTATTTTGTCTCTGCAGCAGGCGACCTTGTGGGCGATCTTTAAAACGCAGCGGGATGATTTTCTGCCTAGCTAGCTATGTATATAGACCCCCTTAAGTAGATAGAATATGGCTTTGGGTAGATTATAATAAGATCCACATACCCCATATTCTATCTACTTAAGGGGGCCTATAAACCCTAAACTCTAATCCCTAAACCCCTAAGCTTTAATCCCTAAACCCTAAACCCTATATTCTATCTACTTAAGGCGGACTCTTAGGACCTTGAAGGTTTGGAAGCTGCCAAATGGCACTGCTTTCCAGGCAGAGGAAGGCAAGTTCTGAAGACCCCCCACCCTGTAATACTTACTTCGCCAATTGCAGAAGGGTTTGGGGTTTAGGGTTTTTGGGGTCTCTATAGTAAAGCTTATTTTTTTTAAGCCCTGGTTATCAGGGAAGAGAGAATGGACAATAGGAATACCCGAATATGGTTATCATTCTGCCTTATAGCCACTAATAAGAGGAGCCTAATACAGATACCATTACGCCTTATAGTCACTACGCTGGATACTAGAAATCCTGCATGACCCTAAGTACCTTACACCTTGGGAATAATGGGACTATAGTATATTAAGGTCATGCAGAATTTTTATTATCAACCGTGTTACTGGCTGGGGGGGGGATGCACTTGAAAGACTAGCAATCTTGCTTCTTCGAGGACTAGTCATGTTGACAGGAGCAGGCTTGACTCCTTGCTTAAGGATAATTGAGAAGAACATGGAGACTACGATTCGTGTATTGGGGCCATATAGGGACAATGGAAAAGAACATGGAAACTACCATATAGTACATTGGGGCTATATACAATTTAGGGCATGAGACCAGAACTGGGGTGCTGTTAAGGAACTGAATTTGAGGTTACCATGATGGGTATACATGTTGATTAATAGGGTTTTCCCAATATAGCAACTTGAAATAATGTCCTGAACAGCAGCCCAGTGCTGTTGTAGTCCACCTCGACAGCCTTTGTTGTCAAGCTTTCGTGTCTTCACCTTTCTTATCCGGAATCCCTGGTGACTCTCAAACCAACACCTCGGGTTTAGGGTTTACTCGAGGGCTGCTGTAGAACCATGCAAGTGGCAGCGCCCTGAGCCCAAATTCCTAAACCCTGAACGCTAAGACAAAGCCCCGAACCCTCAACCTCATTCAAGGTTGATACCATCCTGAACCTTAAGCCCGTGACCCTAAGCCCTTACCTACCTTAAACGTCTATTGGTGGTATAATCTAGTCTCTTAAAAAAAGAAACGAACAAACCGAACAAGCAAATGGAACTGCATAAGAGTCGCTGGGTAGCGACGCGGCTTGCAATTTTTCTGGGAAGCCCTTAAAGGGTCGCTGTAGCCATATGGGCCACATATTATGTGGGAAGCCCTTTGGTCCTCAAGTACGTTAGACAGTCTATATACCTTGGCTATTGCCCCACCCAGTCACAGTTAGAAAATTTGAAAAGTAATCACAACATGAATATATTAATCCCGTAATTCCGTAATTTGACCCCTCCCCCCTTTGTAGTACATGAGCACTGGGTGGAGGCAGTGCCCAATATTAACCCCTGATGGGTTGGGTCATTCCCCCTCCCAGTAACTGTCCTTTCAGAGGGCCTTAATAAGGGAGTTCTTAGAAACCCCTATAACCCATTGTGGTAACAGTTACTGTAAGGGGGAATGACCCCACTGATGGGATCCTTTGAGTGAGCTGCGTAGGAGAAGCTGTCCTCGGCCTTCGATCGTCTTCTAGAGCTCTCCATTGCGCACGCGCCGCCTGACCTAAGACTGGCGCTGCGTAGCTGGGAATGAAGGGATGAAAAGAGAATGGAAGCTATTATAATGGGTTGATCACTATTATCCCTAAGTCCTAAACCCTATTATGGGTCATATAAGGATCCATCCCTAAACCCTAACCCCTATAATGGGCTATGTAGGGACCACTGGGAGAATCCATTCCTTCATTCCTAAACCCTAAACTAAACCCTGATGCTATAAGAATCGATTCCTTCATTCCTAGCTAACCAAAGGCAAGAAGTAGGATTAGGGCTTCTCGGGTCTCAGCTCAGTAGCTGCGCAGTAACCTTTAGATTTTGTAAGGTACATATGATCCATAGTCTAAACTCTTTAAGGGGGGTTGTTTGGTGGACTATATGAGGTTTAGGGTCTAAACTCCTTAAAGGGGGTTATTTAGGGGATTATATAGGGAAGTATTATAGGGCTTATCAAGGGGGATACCAGGAGTTTAGACCAAAGCTCATATGATCTTGTGTAGTCAGTCAACGTATTTTAAGGAAAGTCAGTCAGGGCAAGACTTGCAATTTAGGCTTTTGGGCTTGTGGTTCCTAATTCAGGGCCTGTTTGGGGGTTTTGTTCTAAGCTCGAGGTACTCGGTTGGTGTTGGCAGGATTCAAGCCAACAAGAGAGAGTAATGCAGTAGCAGTCTGTGTGTGATTCATACATATGAGAAAAAGGCAGATACACTCCCAGCAACTAACATGGAAACCCAAAAAGGGCCCTATAAAGACTACAGTCCTTCTAAAAGGGGACTGTATGGGTTTCCGTGTTAGTTTGGGGGAGTGTATCCTGAAATCTGCTCCCCCTCCAGCTGCGAGCGTTTCCAGCCAATGACAGACAAACAGTACAACATCAGGGCAGCTCGGCTACATGTTTTGAAGCAATCCTAGCAAGACAAGTGGGACGGCTAGTGGTCGACCCTGTCACCCGTGGCTTTGCATATGGGAAGCTTGAATAAGGCTTGGTTAGAATTTACTTTAAGACTATACGGCGGAGGTGTACAGAAGACCTCTACATGTCTTTTGTACTTCAGAGCGCATGGCATGCTTCAGGGCAGGGCCTTGGGGACGGCCGTTACTGCTGCTGGCATTTCTACTGTTTTCGCCGCTGCTGCTGCTGCTGCTGCGGCTGCCGCCACCGCTGCCGCTGCCCCGCACCGCCACCTCACCTCCACCTCCAACAGCAGCACCGCCGCCAGCAGCACCACCACCCCTACCCCAAGCAGGATCATAACGACAATGCCAACAGCTAAGAAGACCACCACCACTACTGCTGCTGTTGCTGCAACCGCCATTGGCAGTGCTACAGCTACCTGTGCTACACCTGCTACAGAGTCTCTCCTTCCATAATCTGGGTTGTTGTTAAGGAACTTAAATTAAGTTACCATAATGGGTATGTATATATATATATATATAGTCAATACTAGGGTATCCCCAATATAGTAACCCTAAACCCTGAACCCTATAGGGTTTCCCCAATATAGTAACTTAATTTAAGTTCCCTAACAGCAACCCAGTAATACAGCTTGGTGGAGGTGTGGCGTGGCAGCTTCTCGCGTGGTGGTGCTGAGCTCTGGAATCTCCACTGGGGAGGCGGGGCCCAAAGAGCGCACACTCATGACAACGCAAAGGTAGTAGTACCACATGACAGTTCGAAAATGGACTGATCGATTCATCTCGCAAGCCTAGCAGAAAGCACGACATCTTCTGAGAGCTTGTGGGATGGGCCAGTTCGGCCTCAGCCTCATTGAATGTGCCAGGTAGACTTCACCATAACGGCGGACCCAGTGGAGAAATCTGCCTCCGACGTGATTGAGGATGGAGCGGCGGGGTTGATCAAAACAAATTGTGCAAGAACAGCAGGCCTTGGGGTAGCAGTCAGCAAGCAGGCTACAGCGAGTTGTCTGGACAGTCACAATAGGTCATGAATCGCATCAGCGCAGCTGGATTGGAAGCCCACGCTTGCACAGGACTTGCAGCTGCAGTTGTCGGACGCGTCGTCTCCTTTTCGCACTGGCGCTTTTGCGCCGTTCGCCTCCCACATTGCTCAGCTAAGCGGTGTGCTGCCGTCGCCACACTCCTTGTGGACACCCGGGTCACCGGGACCAAGGGATGCGGAGGAAGCCATTTGCTTAGATCCGGTTGCAGAGGGCCTCAGCAAGTTGAACGAACTCGCTGATGTAGGCGCGCACTCCGATGACGAAGAGCATGAGGAGGATGTTGTGAAGCGACCAGAATATTGGGGCTTGCGGGTCAGAGACTTGTCAGAGTTCCACACCGCTATTCGCGACGAGCTAGTAGGGTATTGTGAAGACCACCGCATGCGCTTTCAGCATGGACAGTGCGTCCATGTGTGCAAGCATGGGGACACTTGCCCCTGGGGCGACCACGCCGGAGTGCCACATGACAAGACATGCAAGTCCGCAGAGACATCTGGACAACCGCTGCTCCCAAACATGCATGCAGCGCTTGGTCTGCATCTATTTTTGAATCGATGAACGGAATCGCAAGGGGTAGCTACAGCATCGCCGCCTCCAACATCCTAAGAGTCCTATGGGTGAAATGCCACGAAACATCACTAAACATTAAACGCTAAAGCTCTAAATCCTAATCTGTGCCCAACAACCTCAGGTTGTTGCAAGATATGTGAAGCCGCAAACTCGTTCCCTGGGCACGTCTTGGGCGACGATGAAGCAGCTTTAGCGGCAGGGGCTTTGCATGTCTAGGCGCGAGGGTATGGGTCTTTACTGTGGTCTCCTGAGGGTTTCTTTTTTGATGTAATATAACCCGAATTAGGTCATTATTAAGATTCATATTTTATTCTTGCTCTAAGGAGATTGGAGTTTAGAGGCATGAGCATGTCCAACCCTAGGCTAATCGTACCTGGATCTCCCAGGTACCTAAACCCCTAAACCCCAGACCACCAAATACCCCATCATCACAGCACCCAGCATTTTTAGGTTAGGGGCTGATGTTTTGAACTTGGGAGGTACAGGCCAACCTTACACTCATATATATATATATGCATCAACAGCTCCAAACATTATGTTTCCTAACATGTATGTATATATATATATATATGAGCCCTAAGCTCTAAACCCTCGAATGTATGTATACCGCCGCCAAACCCAACCCTAGATCGGGGCTTTTCTTATCAGGGTTCCTAGGGCCCACAGCTCTGGCTCTTCGGGTTTAGGGTCTAGGGGTTTAGGGTTTAGTGGTTTAGGGTTGCCTTTTAAAGGAGACTTGGCACGCTCTTGATGAACTAGGAGACTCCAACCCTAAACCCCAAAACTCTACACCCCTAAATCCTACACCCTAAAACCCTAAACCCTAAACTGGATGTCTCTCAGGTATCCAAAGGGAAACTCGTCCGCAAAAGGTTAGCCCTGAGATGAGGATTCTGGCTACCACTACTTGAGCTCTTTAGGGTTTAGGGTTTTAAGTAGGAAGAGATGACCCATTCGACAATATGCAGGGGTTTTGGGCCGTTCTTTTACGTACTTTTGAGGTCCAGGTAAGGCATAATCCATTGGAAGGTGGACATTCAAACTGGGATTACCTTGGGCTTTGCAAGGGTTTGTAAGGGCTGCATTGGTCAAAAGCTTGCAGAGTCCTATAGGTTTCCTCCTTCCTATGACTGTGAGGGTTGATATGCTAGCCCTTCAGACCGATGTGCGGAGTGTAAGGCTGACTTGAGGTCTGTACCCTAAATCCTACTTTTGACAAGGTATGTAGGACCATGCTATAGACAATCTTTTGGGCATTACAGTAGCATGCCTGAGAGAGATCGTCCAGGAGTATGAGCTTGCAAGATTGATTCAAGCTGCACGGCAAGCTGCACCACGTGTCAGTGGCCGGACTCTAGCCCGATGAGACCTAGAGGTGACAGTACATTGCGAGCTTACTATATTGAACATGTTAAGCGGAATCCTGTCGCTTCTAAAGCTTGGCATGTGAGTTTTCATTTTGCAACGCTGCCGGCATGAGGACTTCGGATCACCCACTTCGTGACCCATACTTGGGAGGTGCGCCAGCGCAAGCCCGACATAGAAGCATGACGGCTTCGGATCTTGGGTCTTAGGATGTCTTGTTCCTGACGCCAAGCAGAAGCTAGCAGCTAGGGTGTTCTTTCGACTTCATGGACAGCACAAAACTCAACCATTGAGATGAGCAGCGGCATTTGGTTATAGTCCCCCTTAAGTAGATAGAATATGGTGTATATTATTGGGTTTTATACGGACAATGGACAAGAAAATGGAAAATACTATGATGGGTTATATAGGGTATAGAATACAGGGTTTATTGGGACCTTACTGTAATATACCCAAATCCATATTCCATCTACTTAAGGGGGACTATAAGTTACGACAGAAAGAAAGAAGCGTCAGATGCAGATTTCAGCAAAATGAGCGAGATCAGAGTGTTCTGTCAGAAGTCCTCAGCTGTCTACATAGATACATACATACATACATACATACAGACATACATACATACATAGATTCATGGTTGCCAGTTGCCAGGAGCTTTTCTCTGACTTTGTGGGAAGCTTGGAGGCTGCGCTAAACCCTGACAACGTGACCTGGCACATTCAGGGTATAGTCCCCCTTAAGTAGATAGAACATGGAGGTCATATTTGGATAATGCAAAAGAAAATGGAAATTACTATTTAGGGTTTAGGGTTAGGGTTTAGGGTATAGTCCCCCTTTAGATAAAAGATGGGGTATATGGGGATATTATAATAAGACCCCATATGCCCCATATTCTATGTGCTTAAGGGGCACTATGGCTCTGGTACGGTTCAGTGCTTTTGTTGCTGGCGCTGGTGGCTGTAGTGGAAATCGTGTTGACGCAGCTGTGGTGGGATTAAATGAAAGCTGTAGTAGCAGTTGTCATGTTGCCATAACCCTAGTGATCTAAGTATCTGATTTTTACCAAGTTGGGCCCCAACGACTGTCTCAACATTACCGACGTGGGGCTGTTTGGAGTGTTCGCCGAGAGGCTGCCGTGAACCAATAGGGCTTAATTAGGATTTAGGGATGTTTAAGGTTTAGGGCTTATGATTTTATGGGCTTAAACCCAAACCCCTAAACCCTAAACCCAATTCTGAGTGTGGTTTGCTTCTGAAGTAAGATTTCGCGAGCTCGAGGATGCCATCCGTTAGGGAAAGCATCGTCGACCAGCCAGATTTCCAGTGCTTGTACCAGCAGCCACAGACTGGGTGCCCTAAACTCTTCAACCCTAAATCCTAAAAGGGACCTCCCATATAGACCCCCAAATACTAGAATCCTTGTTATGGCAGGGGTTGCCAAGCTATCATAGTTTCTAAATCTTAAACCTGCTGATGCTTCCTGTGACCCAGGGACTCGATAGTCTATATTAGTCTATATCGTGTATATATGTATGATACACCTACGGCCCTGATACAGTATTATGCAAGTTTTATCTACTTTGGGATGCTTGGATCCCGAGCGCAATACATTTGAAGAATACGAAGTGAGGAGGTCACCGGGGCTCTCCACTGTTTGCAGAGCTGTACCCTAAACCCTGAGACATGTGTCTCAGGTGGTTTGGGTTTGCAGCATGGCTTTGAATCAGTGCCTTGCCTGGCAATAACGCTGAGCATGGACTTGCGCATACGCGGCATCGGGATTGACAGCGCTGCTTTGGTCGTTCAAACTTGAGTCCTCTCATGTGAGCTACAGTCTAAACTCCGAGTATCCCCCTTAATCACCCCTACAATACTCCCCAATATACTCGCCTATATAACCCTCCTTCAAGGAGTTTAAGCTATAGCTCATGTCATCAGGAATGCTGACATCACACAGATGCTCGACGTGGAGCTCTTGAAGCTCCTTTCCTCAACAGATCATGTTTTAATGTTTAGCAAACTAGTCGCCCCTCCATGCTCAGTAAGGAGTGAAGAAGAGAGTGATAGGGAATACTATGCGGAGGTTTCCCAAAATGAGGGGTACTTTGTTGGGTGTCCCTATAGTAAGGATTCTAGTATTTGGGGGTCTATATTGGGGTCCCCCTATTCAGGGAAACTACCATGAAATCCATTCCTTCAAGAATCCGCTAGCTCGCCTTTGCTGGTGCTACTCGTTCGGCGGCTCTTTCTCTGACTCATCTGTTCGCTTATGGCATCCCTAAACCCTAAACCCTAAACTTGAAACCCTCAACCCTGAACCCTAAGCTCTATAAACCCTAAACCGCCATGTATCTGAGCGGGTAATTTTCAACTTGTTGGGCTTTAAACATCTCTAGATTGGTAGCTTCCCAAAATAAGGAGACCCCAATATAGACCCCAACATATTATGATCCTTACTATAGGGACTCCCAACACGGTACCCCCCAATTTTGGGAACCCCCCCCCCATGATTTTATATATATATATATACATATATATATATATACGGGTGGGGGTCGATATGTGGGCGTTCCCCTGTTTAGGGAAGTTACCACTTCTCTTCACTTGAAACACGCTAGATTTATATCCCTAAACCCTAAACCCTACATACCTCTAGGGGCTGATATCCTGACAAGGGCATGCTAAAGCCTCAGTCCATAAGATTGCCTTTGTTGCAGGGTTTAGGGTTTAGGGTCCAAGGTCTCCATTTGCTGTGGCACTCCGCCGTGCTTCGCGACAGCTTGTTCTCCTGGATCGGAGACTGGGACCCCAGCAGCGGCGTTTGCCGAACATTACCTACATGGTTCGTAGTATGGAATAATGGGAATCTGTTGTATGAGAATTATATAGGGGTTATACTCCATTATTCCCTTGTAAGAACCAGCAAGGCCATAGGTTTTAGATTTCTATCCGAAGTAGTGTTACATGGTCATTAGCGTGGAGCCCTGAAGCCTGGTTGGGTCCGGTTGGGGTGCTGTGAGGGGACTTGAAGTTTCTAGAATAAGGAAGCACCATATGATTTACTACATGCCCATGATATGGGAATCTTGAAGTAAGTTCCTTAGTTCAGACCCAGTAAGATGATTGTTTGAGTGACGTTCGCAACGTCCAGTCACCCCTCAGTTCGAGCCTGCAGAGGATCGGAGCTTGAGCTGTTCGCGATCGATCGTGCGCACTTCATAGTCCAATTAGGGTTTAGAGTTTAGGGTTAGTTTCACCCCTCCCCCGAATATCAGCACCACCCAACGCCTCAATAAGGTTTGGGGTCGGAAGGTCGTTGTTTGGGGAGGGGATTATTCAAACTAGGAATGCTATGATCGTCTCCAACGTCTGCTAGCGGAAATAGCCCGTTTGGCTTGTAGCGGTGTGGCAGTTTATGAAGAGATTCGATGTAGATATAGTGAGTTGAGACCATCTTTCTTTTTACTGTTATGAGACTATTACGCTGCGCAATTTTTTTTGCCCTGTACTATGCAACTGCAACTGAGGGACCTAAAGGTGCCAACAAGATCTTGGTGTGCCTATGAGCTGCTGTGGCAGCATTTGCAGCAAAGTTCTTGGCAGATGGCGTGAGCTCGGCGTGAGCCTCTAAAATTGGGATATCTGGAGGTAGAATGTAGCGCGCTGTAGGGGTATTTTGGGATCTACAGGGTTTGGGGTTTCCGAAAGTCAGGCCCTCTGTTGGGGAGTCGCTGAACAGGACTCTGTCATACTCTGTCAATGTTCGGGCCCCTTATTGCAGAGATCACCATATGACGTTTGGTTTTGGTTGTGGGTCCGCAAGGAGTGCGCGCGGAGTGCCCAGTCGATTTTCGGACGCACAAATCGAAATTCCACCTAAATCCTAAAACCTAAACCCTGCGCCCTAAACCCCAAACCCTATACCCTAAACGGGCTGAATTACGGTTTAGAGGTTTTTTAGCCCACATCGTTGGATTTAGGGTTTAGGGCTCCTAAGAGTTTAGGAGCTAGGGTTTAGGGTTTGTTTCATGCTCTGTGCCTAAAATCACAAATCGAGAAAGCAGCGCAAGCATTAACAAAAAACTGCAGCCCGGCATTCGTGCAAGAAGCCGCGTGCGTGATGTTGTGCTAAAGATGCTATAGTCCCCCATGTAGATCAAGACTTCATCATCCTTTTGTGGGTGTACATGGTAAAGTATAGGAAGAAAATCATCTGTTGCGGTTCCACCACCACAGCAACCCCTTGGACCTCAAAAGCAAGTAAAACCTGATAGCCTAAAACCCCTACATCTAGTCGAAAGGCCATTTTCTACATAGTAGTCTAGTTTCTAAACTCCTTAAAGGGGGTAATATAGGGGATTATATAGGGGACTACTATAGGGCTTATTAAGGGGGATACTAGGAGTTTAGACAGTAGCTCACATAGTAATTTAGTTTGAAGGTTCGGGCACCAGTCACACGGAGCTCAGTAACTCAGGTTGGCGATTGCTACGAAGTTTGCCATGCCGACTTTTCTGTGGCCTCATCCGGGATCGGACATCGAGCAGCTGAAGAGACACCGGGTTGGTAGGGCCTAATACCTTGATTCGAGAGTTTTAGAGTTTAGGGTTGGGGTTTAAAGGGTTTAGGGTTTAGGGATTAGGGTTTAGGGTTGGGGTTTAGGGTGTATGGAAGCCACATATATACATGCATATATGTATATTTTGTGCAACAAATTTAATATTGGGGTGCAGAGCTTTTCAGAGATCTTGTGTCTTGGGGGATAATTTGGATGTTGTTTAAACCAGTATATTAACACCCTAAGCCCTCAGCCTAAACCATGCAGTTTCCGTAAAAGTTTCATGATACATAAGTCTGAGCCTTTGCAGAACCAATGACCGTTGCGTCGTTCCAAGGAAAAATAAAGTCACTGGACTTGCGCAATGCTGTTGCCAGCAAGAAGGAAGATGAGGACCCACAAGAGATTAGGGTTCAGGGGTTTCGCTACTTTGGGTGTAGGGTTGAGGGTACTTGGGTTTCAGGGTTGAAGGTTTAGGGTACTTGGGGTTTAGGGTGCGTAGGGGATTTACATCCAATCTGCGGCCCACCGCATTGTCTACTTCCTGAACCTGTATAGTCTATATACCGACCCCCCAGGTACCCTAAAATAGGGTCTAC